GCCCAGGACACAACCACCACGTCAGATGCCAACGAGGGTGTTAACTTTTGCAAAACCTGCAGAGCCCTCAATTGGAAAATAATCCTGCCTCCAGGGGGGGTGTATGCATGCACTCAGAAGAACCGGTTTATACCTGGCTGTCAGATTTAGTCAGATGGGGAATGCACACGGCTCCAAGCCAATTCGGCGCGCGCCAACTTTGGTTCAGTCTTCAACCCTGTCGGCGCATCTTCGGCGGCGCAAGCGATCTGACGTAACCTATCAAAGTTGTTGTGCAAGCGAAAGCTGACGAACTAGCGAATTGTATGTCGCATGATGCCTAGAAGAACTTTCGGAAAGCGTAAATAGAGCATATTAATAACAAGGAAACACAGATGGCGGGAGGCGCGCTGTGAATAATCCGCGGACATCGGCAATATGCCAAACATGAACGCTAGGTAGGTACAGCACCAGACAAACCCTGCCTCTTCTCCTCTGATTTTCGGATCCGATCGCGGCAGCCGTTATCAAGACAACAGCAACCAAGCTGGTTTGGTGGATGATGCATGCACTCCGAAGAACCGGTCATACCTGTGGCTGTCAGATTTAGGTCAGATGGGGAATGCACACGGCTCCAAAGCCAATTCGGCGCGCGCACTTTGTGGTTCAGGCTTCAAAGCTGTTCGGCGCATCTGCGATCCAAACCCGCAAGCGAAGCTGACGTAACTAGCGAATTTTGTATGTGCAATGATCCTAGAAGAAAACTTTCCGAGGCCCTTAGAAATAGAGCATATTAATAACAAGGAAACAGAGGCGGGGAGGCGAGCTGTGGGAATATCTGGTAGCGGACCCTCGGCAATATGCAAAACATGAACGCTAGGTACAGCACCAGAAACTCTCTGCCTTTCTCCTCCTTGAGTTGCGGATCCATCGCGGCAGCCTTATCAAGACACAGCACAAGCAAGCGGTTTGGTGGATGATGGTTTGTCATGCACTCAGAAGAACCGGTTCATACCTGTGGCTGTCAGATTTAGTTCCAGATGGGGAATGGCACACGGCTCCAAAATCCAATTCGGGCGCAGCGCACTTTGGTTCAGGCTTCAAAGCTGTTCGGCGCAGTCTTGCGCATCAAACCGCGCGCAAGCGAAACTGAAATATGGGATGGATCGAGTGTGGAATATCTTTTTGCGGACATCGGCAAAATAGTGCCAAAACGAAAAAGCTAGTTACAGCGCCAGACAAAATCTCCGTCTCACCTCCTCTTTTTGCGGATCCGATTAGCGGCAGCCGTTTTCAGAGAGCACAGCAACTAAGCAAGGTTGGCGAGGACATGGGAGGGGAAGTCAAACACAAGATAACATCGGCAAACAATGCATCACGCATTCTGCGGCAACACGGCCACAACTATACCATCTGGTGCCGCGAAACGAACGGGAAATGCTGGACTCAGGCAAACCAGGAAGCAGGATTGCTGAACGTTGAGCGCCGTTCTGACCGTACGCGACATCGTGCTTAATGCTGACAATGTCGAGCCGATCCTCTAGCTAGCGAGAGCTGAACTGCTCGTGCGGAGGGATGGTCTAGAAATCAGAAAGTGCCTTCAACACCCACCGGCCTCTGCATGTGAGTTCTTCTTGGCAGACCTGTAATTCTCTCGCATCCAATTGCAACACTGCTTTCAGCAGTCTCTGGCACGACTTTTTTTGCCTTTCGGTACGTGGCCGGCATTACATAGACCCCAAACAGGACGCACCAATTGCCGCATGCTGGAGACCATCTGAGACTCTTCATGGGATCCGCGGTGGGTGATCGCCTGCTAGGCTGCGGGCTGCCCACAGCTTGCTGCCGAACTCCTACGGCGGCGATGCACGGCTCTACGTTCCTGGAGGAATGAGCATGACTAGGGTTATCTTTTTTTTGTAGTGTGTGCAGTTTCCTTGCCTTTGTATTCCAACATTGGGCATTGGGGGACTGTGGAGCAGGGAAAGCAACGGCTATCAAAATCAGTATGTAAATGCTGATGGCAAGTCTGTGCACGTGACTTGCTCTGGAGGGGTGTTAGGTCTGATTGGCGGCTTGTTTTGCTATGTGAGATGACGGTCTGACGGACGGCCTCACTAGGCTGTGCTGCGCTCGACGACATAGAGAACGTGAACGGAGTCGTGCAAGAGAATGCCAGTTCTTCTAGCCTTGGAAAACTCCAAGTTTACCTAGTCCGAATTGGCCATGACTGTTTCGGCACCATCCAAGCCACCGGAAAAAAGGAACTGTGCACAGCACTCTTTCTGAACAGCCATGCGCACACCCTGCAAATCCCACTCCGAACTAACCAACCATCCTAGCCGTCGATTTGGCGCGTAGACCCGTGCCTGAAGTAGACCACTGTATTCAGAACAACGCAATATATTCCCAATACCACCTGCGCCATATGTGCCGTG